AAGAATGATGGTTGAAATAGTTTTATATCTTTTAATGTGCTTGGTTCTAGAATTATGAAGAATGATGGTTGAAATAGTTTTATATCTTTTAATGTGCTTGGTTCTAGAATTATGAAGAATGATGGTTGAAATAGTTTTGTATCTTTTAATGTGCTTGGTTCTAGAATTATGAAGAATGATGGTTGAAATAGTTTTATATCTTTTAATGTGCTTGGTTCTAGAATTATGAAGAATGATGGTTGAAATAGTTTTATATCTTTTAATGTGCTTGGTTCTAGGATTATGAAGAATGATGGTTGAAATAGTTTTATATCTTTTAATGTGCTTGGTTCTAGAATTATGAAGAATGATGGTTGAAATAGTTTTGTATCTTTTAATGTGCTTAGTTCTAGAATTATGAAGAATGATGGTTGAAATAGTTTTGTATCTTTTAATGTGCTTAGTTCTAGAATTATGAAGAATGATGGTTGAAATAGTTTTGTATCTTTTAATGTGCTTCATTCTAGAATTATGAAGAATGATGGTTGAAATAGTTTTATATCTTTTAAGTGCGTTGTTCTAGGATTATGAAGAATGATGGTTGAAATAGTTTTGAATCTTTTAATGTGCTTCATTCTAGAATTATGAAGAATGATGGTTGAAATAGTTTTATATTTTTTAATGTGCTTGGTTCTAGAATTATGAAGAATGACGGCTGAAATAGTTTTGTATCTTTTAATGTGCTTGGTTCTAGAATGATGAAGAATGACGGCTGAAATAGTTTTGTATCTTTTAATATGCTTCATTCTAGAATTATGAAGAATGATAGTTGAAGTAATTTTGTATCTTCAATTAGATGTACCTACTCCAAGAGCTACACTTACTGGGCATGAAAATCCAGTAATGTGTGTCGTAGTCTCGGCAGAACTGGGGCTAGTGGTTAGCTGTTCTAAAGGTCAGTATGTCTTGGTCACATCAATATTCGCTACTTTTACTGTAACTGGCTAATGTTATTGTTACATCATCAATAGTTATTTCAGAGAGGGAACAAGTGGGTTATTATTCTAAAGATACATAGAATATCCATACGTTTGCTTAAGTTTAGTAAAGATAATTGTAATGACTTTTATCTTGTAGAAAGTTTGGATATTTCTAAATTAGTTGTATTATAAAATATTTGTTTGAGTGAAGTGACTAAGCTCTTTTTTGGTGTCACCGAAGCATGATTTGTTTAGTATATTTTTTTGGTCTGTTTTAAATATGGAAATTATGTTGTTGTTTTTAAATTAGCTTATTTTTGAATGTCTAACTTTATTTCTGATACTAAAATTATCAGTAAATGATGCTTTCTCATTTCACCAGGTGGCCCTGTTCTTGTTCACACTACAAGTGGAGATCTATTGCGATGCCTAGATGGTCCCGACCACTTCCGTTCTCCAGAGCTTTGTGCTCTCTCTCGAGAGGGTCTGATAGTCGTCTGTTACGACCACGGAAGTGCCTGCTGCTTCACCGTCAATGGAAAACGACTGCGTTTTGAAACTCACAATGATACTATACAAGTAGGCTGTGATAAAATAATACTTGTGATCTGAAAAAGACCATGGTTTCAAAAACCACTATTACTTATGTTAAACACATTATTAAGGTGTTATAAAATACCATTACAAAGCAGCCACTCAACACAAACTTGTATTGAAAGAGAACTTTTAAAACTTAACTGTTGCTAACAATCTTTATATTGTTGTTATTTAATGTAGAGAAATAGAAATATATTCAGTAGTTAAACCTAGTTATTCTCTTGAATTCTTTATAAGATATTGTGTATTAATTTAATTGGTATATGATTGTGAACTTCTTCATGGACCAAGTATGAAACCTGTGAGATTCATAAATAAGAAGCTACTTTTAATGATCAGAAGAGCTAGTTTCTTAATACTTTGTACATAAGTTTTGGTCTCTATAAAATGTGTGTGTAATAAACAAAATTGTTTAGTAAATCAGTTTGAAACTTTGCTATAGTTATACAAGATGATCAAATTGAAGTTATGACACAAAATCAATCAAATGATAAGCATTTCACAAATAGGATTGTCACCAACATAAACAACTCTTAAACATATCTTTTTTTACTGCAGTGTTTGATTCTCAGCCGTGATGGGGAATACTTGATGACAGGAGGAGACAAAGGAATTGTGGAAGTCTGGAGGACCTTCAACCTTGCTCTTCTGTATGCCTTTCCAACATGTAACAGTGGAGTTCGTTCATTGGCTCTCTCTCATGATCAGAAGTGTGTAAAGTGTTGTGAATTGTAGTTGTAAGGTTCTCCAACATTACAAGATCTGATACTTTAAAGTTTTTTATGTTTTTAGAATTTTGGGTTTAAATTTCTGTACGAAATCAGATGCATTCATTTAGAAATTAATTATCTATGTTAGAAATGATAAAGAGAGAGTGAGTTTATTTCTATAATTCATTTAATAGTTTCAGTATTAAAAGTAGGATATGATTTTGATTATTTAGGAACTTCAACTTTTTCTAGAAATATTGGGTTCCTTTAACAAAATTAAATATTAATTACCATAAAGAATTAACAACAAATTCATGATATTGTTATTTAAACTCAATAAAACGTGGATTTACTTTTACAGGTTCCTCTTGGGTGGCTTGGCCAATGGCTCAGTTTCTGTATTTTACATAGACTTCACCAGATGGCATCATGAGTTCCAACAACGATATTAATATACATTTAAAGAACATGATTTGTTTTTTCTGTTTATAATGTAGAAACTCTGTCAAACTTTTTGTTTTTCAACTTACAGAAAACAATCTATAGATTAGCAGTTGTTACAGTCAGGCTATGATTTGTGATTTTATTTTCAGTATCTTCCTTTAATGTTATTCTAGTATTATTTGTTTCAAGTTGCAGTTTGAGATCATATTCATTAATGAGTGGATGGTTTCATAGCTGATACATCAGTGAACCACATCATGACATGTTATCCATCATATTATCAGATGTTCCTTGTTGATATTACTGAACAAACAAGTTAACTTTGTTTTTCTCTAAATACATTGTTAGGAGGTGCTTGTTGGGTGCATAGCAGGGTGTCATTAAATAGATCACAAGTTAAGCACCCCTCTTAAATACATTGTTAGGAGGTGCTTGTTGGGTGTATAGCAGGGTGTCATTAAATAGATCACAAGTTAAGCACCCCTCTTAAATACATTGTTAGGAGGTGCTTGTTGGGTGCATAGCAGGGTGTCATTAAATACATCACAAATTCCACATTTCTGGTAAATACATTGTTAGGAGGTGCTTGTTGGGTGCATAGCAGGGTGTCACTAAATACATCACAAATTCCACATTTCTGGTAAATACATTGTTAGGAGGTGCTTGTTGGGTGCATAGCAGGGTGTCACTAAATACATTAAAAGTTAAACATTCTGTTAAATACATTATTTGGATGTCTGGTTGGGTGTACAGCAGGGTTGTTACTAAATATGTCACAACTTAAGCACCCCTCTTAAATACATTGACAGGAGGTGCTTGTTTGGTGCATAACAGGGGTGTCACTAAATACATCGTAGGTTCTGTTAACTTTATGGTTTTTACAGAATTGTTATTTCACTAAAACAAATCACAAGTTCATCTTGCTGTTAATGGACATGTATAAAAAAAAAGTTAGTTTTTTAAACAACTTAGAACGAAGGACAGCTTTTTCTCACCTGGATCAAAACCACTAAAACTTGAAAAGAATTAATTTTATATACCTTTTGAAATTACAGTTTTATGACCCAGAAAATCATTGTGTCTTGATAGACAGATTTCAGTGTAGGAAAGAAAGCTTGTTTTTGAACAAGGTGACAGGGTGCCCCTTTACTTGATTGATCGCTGTTAAAAACAACATTGGCATAAAGTTCAAAACTTACTATATGTCTAGTAGCCTAAAATAAATATTACTGGAATTTCGGCAGATTCCAGTATTGAAACCTTAAAAGATCTCGCGTTCAGCACTTAACAAAAAAAGCTATCATGATCAAATGTGCTATCCTTTTATGAAAATAAAGGTCACAAAACTGAACTCTGATTCACCATTAGAGCTGCTACTCTATGGCTGATTAGGGTTAATAAAAAAACGTTTGACTTTTCTTGGGTAGCTGGTCTAACCCACGCACAAAGCATCCTGGAAGTAGTGAAGCTTTTAAGACACAAGTTGTGCTAGTAATGTTGTCATTCAGAACCCTGTAGAAGGGTAGCTGATTTTTACTTGAGCATAAATTCTTCTATCACATAAGTAAAGGTAATTAGTTCTTTTGTAAATGTAAACTAAAAATAATTGTATGTGAATGTTGAACTTTATGTATACTGTAGATTCAGTTTAGCACGTTTCAGCTGTGTGTACCATTTTCGTCTTCCATCCAAAAAAAAGCAAGAACAAATTACCGCCTATTATACATTGTGATTAAAAGATCTTCTAGTTTTGTTGAAAGGAACTTTGCCGAAGCTGCAGGTAGTTTAGTATCAGGTGTGATATATTATTTAACAATCTGTTGTTTTTTTTTTTCATTATAAGTTCTTTGGATAATTTCATTAATATTCTTTTGATGAGTCTTGTTATGACTTTCTGTGTAGGTAAATTTTCTTCTATCATTCATGATAAGGTAGTTTAGCAAGATTTGTATTAGATTTCTCATTCAAAACGTTTTACAGGACATTGTGCTACGTTACCTGTTTAGAAAGTTTTACAGATTCTGTGTTACTTTCCTGTTCAGATAGTTGAAGATACTGTGTAATATTTCATACTTAGAAAGTTGAGGGTAATGTGTGTCAATATTATTCAATATTTCTACCCTCAATGAAGACTCAAAGCCATTTTTAGAGTGACATTCTATTTTGTCTTGTGTGTGTGTCGTTGTCCCCTTTCTCTAGTTTAAACATTTGTTACTTTTCTCACCTTTCTCTAGCTTAAATATCTGTTGCTTTTCTCACCTTTCTCTGGTATAAATACCTGTTGCTTTTCTCACCTTTCTCTGGTATAAATACCTGTTGCTTTTCTCACCTTTCTCTGGTATAAATACCTGTTGCTTTTCTCACCTTTCTCTGGTATAAATACCTGTTGCTTTTCTCACCTTTCTCTAGCTTAAATAACTGTTGCTTTTCTCACCTTTGTGTAGTATAAATATCTGTTGCTTTCCTCACCTTTGTGTAGTATAAATATCTGTTGCTTTCCTCACCTTTCTCTAGTATAAATATCTGTTGATTTTCTCACCTTCGTCTAGTATATATATCTGTTGATTTTCTCACCTTTGTCTAGTATAAATATCTGTTGATTTTCTCACCTTTCTCTAGTATATATATCTGTTGATTTTCTCACTTTTTTCTAGTATAAATATCTGTTGTTTTTCTCACCTTTCTGTAGTATAAATATCTGTCGATTTTCACACCTTTCTCTAGTATAAATATCTGTCGATTTTCACACCTTTCTCTAGTATATATATCTGTTGATTTTCTCACCTTTGTCTAGTATAAATATCTGTTGCTTTTCTCACCTTTCTCTAGTATAAATACCTGTTATTTTTATGACCTTTATCTAGTATAAATATCTGTTACTTCTCTCATCTTTCTCCAGAATAAATGTTACTTTTCTCACCTTTATTTATTATATATATATATATATATATATCTGTTGCTTGTCTCACCTTTTTTTTTTCTCACCTTAAATTCAGTTCAGCAAGCTTTCCCAAATCTGGAGTTTAACATGATGTTATAACAGTGAAGAGGATCACTGTAACTTTGTAATATAAGATGTTAAATTTTTCCAGATGTAAGAAAGAAACAAAAATGTTATTGATTTACCTACTGTTGAGTGGTTTAGTAAAACATTCATTTAGGATTCACAAGCCTCGGCAACTCAGACCCAGAAATGGGTAGGTTACAAATTGGCTAAATATTTCTATTTCTAGAAGATGACAATGGTATAAAAAAACTGGTCAGGATTTGGCATTTTTGCAGTGCAGAAATTTAAAAGAAAAAGTAAACATTGTTTACTATATAGATGACACAGAAGTAGATAAATGAGTAGCTTACAAACAGAGCCAGATTAAATGCATCTTGGGCCTTATGCCTTGCAAATGTTATGGGCTTTTTAATCAGGATTATGCTATAATAAACTGAATATTATTACATAAACTAACACAATAAAAAATCATAATTTACCTTCTCTCTCAAGTTTGCCACTGAAAGATCCGAGTTTTTATTTGTTCCACACTTAAAAGGTTATTTATTAGTCCTAGCTATGTGGAAAATAGTTCTAAGTTTCAGATAATATATATATACACAATTTATGTACCTTATAGAACAAGAAATTAGCAAACAAAAATCATCTCAACAGTTAATTTTCACAGTTTGAAAAATCCACTATTTAAAAACTATTATAGCTAGAAAATAGTTCCATAAATAAAGTTCTTCTACACTTTGGGAAGGTTAAGTGGTCTGTTGAAAGGAAAACTTGCATATTTACAAGATTTTAATATAAATTTCAACATCTAGTTAAAAATTGAAATTGAGTTAAATTTCCATATTTTTTATTTCATCTAAACCAGACGTTAGTAAAACTTATATTAAAATAAAATTCAAAATCTCAACACTTCTATTTTCATTGTATTTTTGGAAGGAACTTATTGGAAAAATCACATATAATTTTTCAAAAATTGGTGTTGCACATTTTCTCTGGGTTATACCCAGTATGAGTGGATACAAAATGGTTAGAAAGGACAAATTGTTGAGTGATGAATTTTTCCATGCATATCTGGTAGCTAGTTTCATATACATAATTAGCAGTCTGCTGTCAGCTGTAATATGGCGATTAGGATCAGTGCTTCCACCTCCGCTTTAAAGGAAATTCAGCTTGTAAAAGGAATTTATAAGGATGTTGAGGTGTAAACTGTAAACACTTAATAAATTGTAAATTTTTATCGACACTGTTGGCTGTATCTGATAAGCATCAGTGAATTGCCATAAAGATTTAAAACTTTTTTTTTGTCACAATGAATGTAATTGAGTAATGACTTATACATTTGTTAACATTCGATGAAAATCTAGCTTTAGAATTAATATAAGATATGGAATACTTTTCTTCACTGTGCTTGATTTTTTCCAGACAACCCTAATAACAGTTTATGAAGTTTGTGCATGAAATACTTGAAGTTTTGAAATAATGATAAATTCAATAAGAAGTAATAATTAAACCAACATTCTGACCACTTACAAAACTAAATTAGCTTAACATTAAACATTCTTTTTTATATATTGTTTTATGTCATTTTTAATTAAAAAGTATGATATTTCAGTGGATAAAATTAAGCTTTAGTAATTTATAGAAATTTTTGGCACCTTTTAAAGAACCTTGAATGCTCCTCAGTTCATTCAAGGAACTTCATTTACTATGCTGCAATTATGAGCCTCTTTCTAATGTGGGCCTCACACATGTGTATGTTTGGCATACCACTTAATCTGGCTCTGGTTACAAATCACCAAAAATGCCAAATTCCAAACAGTTTTAAACAACTAGTTCTTATTTTAAAATAGTTGTAACAATCTACTTATGTAATATTTATGTAAAAGATGTAATTTTAAAAAGAAATCTGTAACTAAACATTCGAAATGCTGCTTACACAAATCTAAGACTTGTGATCTGTTATAAGCTGTATGATCTTAATAGCATTCTCCTCTATAAGGAATATAGATAAAATTTTGGCAGTGTGTTACATAGTCGCATATTTCTCAAGATTAAAATTGTAGCCTAGCTTCACTGTGAAGCAATAGTTGGAAAAGTAGCAGCTTGGGAAATACTTTCTGCAAATTTTTAAGCTTGGAAGTTTAAAAACAATCTTTTGAGGAAGCATTTTTATACTCTGTACTAAATAAGGGCTCTGTGTTTTTTGTTGCTGTGTTTAGATGGTGAGGTGCATGAACATGCAAGTCATGTTGTGTCAGTAAACTGGAAGTCATTCACTTTTCATGTTTAGATTGTGAAGTGCATGATCATGTTGTGTCAGTGAACTGGAAGTCATTCACTTTTCATGTTTAGATTGTGAAGTGCATGATCATATTGTGTCAGTGAACTGGAAGTCATTCACTTTTCATGTTTAGATTGTGAAGTGCATGATCATGTTGTGTCAGTGAACTGGAAGTCATTCACTTTTCATGTTTAGATTGTGAAGTGCATGATCATGTTGTGTCAGTGAACTAGAAGTCATTCACTTTTCATGTTTAGATTGTGAAGTGCATGATCATGTTGTGTCAGTGAACTAGAAGTCATTCACTTTTCATGTTTAGATTGTGAAGTGCATGATCATGTTGTGTCAGTGAACTGGAAGTCATTCACTTTTCATGTTTAGATTGTGAAGTGCATTATCATGTTGTGTCAGTGAACTGGAAGTCATTCACTTTTCATGTTTAGATTGTGAAGT